TCGATGTTTCGCGTCTGTATCTAAGTCGGTAGAGTCACCATGTAGGAACATGCCTGCTTCTATACCGCTCATCTATATGTAATTAATATTATATATATATATATATATATATATATATATAAATATAAATAACAAGAAAATCGGCAGACTTACATTTAATTTTCGTTCGAGCTCCGGGCTCTCATATATCATTTAATATGAAGTAAAATCCTTATCGTATCAAAACACAGCGTTACAGGCTGCAGGCTATATTAACATATTTGTGTTTATCAAAGCTCCCCGTGAAGTAATGGGGATACTACGCATTCTCTTATGCGCTGACCTGGCTCTCACAAATGAGACGTAATGACACACATATAGATTACTGGATCTTAGATGGACTAAATCGTTAACTTAGTGCGCTTTATTTAGGTAAACGTTCTTGCACGCGTTGTAAAAAGTCACTGCACGTTTAGACTCGATAACCTTTGATATGTTGCGTATACTTGTAGTAGACGCATAGTATCAGGAGTAGATAATAGGGTATATAATAGATTCTACTCCTGATAGTATCAAGAGTCTATAATAGAAATGATATTCTTCTATTATAGACTCTTGATGGTATCTGGCTGATATATCCTTCAGGTGGGTCTCCTACATACTACCGACCAACATGAGTGACAATGCGACTGTAAATCTCGTCCACCTGGGAGGCGAGTTGTACTGCAGCGGAGAAACGGCAACCATATTCCGAATAAATCCAGACAGTTTAGAAACGCTCGAGAGGGTATTTGGAGATATACATACTCTCTTCTCAGATGTGCGTGGCGCGTGAATGCATGCGTGCGTGCGTGTGTCTGTATATTCACGCGTAGATGCGTGTGGGAGTTCGTGCGTGCGCGAATCTGTACATGTGTATAATAAGAGATAATATCTGATAACAAATCTTGCCAAGGGGAACGGGAGGGACAGACTGTCAGTGAATATTTGTGATAAACGGGAAAGCCTGAAAATATTACATATGAACCCGAAATTAGCGTTATTTTAGCACAGCTTTCACTTCCAGGTAGAATTAAAAAAGCTGGCCTCTCTGGATACATGTGTTGCTCATGCGCAGTACGATAACGACGGCTCTGCGTATCTGTTAGGAAGCCATTTCTCACCTCCATCGGCGTATAAGTTTATAAAGATTCCACCACCAGATGAAACAAAGCGCCGTAAAAGTATGTTGCAAAACGTAAAAAGGTATAAAAACATGCTATTTATATAACGTGCCAGTTGTTTGGAGTGTAGTTAAATAATATTTAGTGTATAATAGTATCAAGAGCACGTACTAGCGAATCTCTATTGTGTACTCTTGATAGTGTAGTTGATGTTAGAATAAAGTCGGTAGTAGATAGAGAATATGGGAGTAATAAAGAAATGACCACGCCTCGTAATGCTATATATATATATATATATATGATGGGTTCATGAAAGGTTCATGAACACTTCTCACAGTCGATCCCACGGAGCCTGTAAGGAGAGCCGAGGTGGTGGCCAAGGTGTCCATGCAGAACCCGCTGAAGCCAAGTTACATTCATAGCTTCGCCATGACCGACAACTACTTCATCTTCGTCGAGTCTCCTCTAGTCATCAACATCCTGACGGTGACGCGGAGAAAGCTATCAGCTCTGAGCTTATACGACGCACTAGAGTGGCTAGAGGGAAAAAACGTACGGCAGTAGGAGTTATTCCCACCCTACTTATGATATCCGTCCGGCCTGTCGCTAGAGTATTTCTGCTTTAGTCAGTTGTCTTGCCGGAGTCTCGATGATCACCCACCGCAACAATAATCTAGAACGGGGATTGAATAATATCACTAAATTTTATTTAAAAAAAGAATTAAAAAAAGAAGAATAAAAATATAAAAGAAAAAATATATAAATATAAAAATATAAATATAAATAATTTATAGAATTCATTTTCTTTTCTTTATATAAATTATATATAACGTAAATCGTTTTTATTCTACCACACAGTTACGAATTTGAGAAAGAAGCGTGTTTCGCGGTAATCTATGATTCAGCATGTATTTTGACACTATTGCATAAATTCCGGTGTCTTTGCCGTCAGCAGTGTCGGATTCATCTCGTGGAGAGGCGGAGCGGCAAGGAGAGCAAGGTGCGCTGCGAGTGCCCACCGATGCTCGTCATTCACCAGATCAACGCATACGAACACGATGACAACATCATCCTCGACGTCTGTTGCTATGACGACGCAACAATGCTCGACGAGTACCATTTTGAGAAGCTGCTGGATACGAGTTACACGCCTCGAGGCTTGGCTGAGCCCCGCCGCCTTATCATACCCATCAGCGGCGCTACTGCTGCTGCTGCTGCTGCTACTACTACTACTACTACTGCTGCTGCTGCTGCTGCTACTACTACTACTGCTGCTGCTGCTGCTGCTGCTACTACTACTACTACTGCTGCTGCTACTACTACTACTACTACTACTACTGCTGCTGCTGCTGCTGCTGCTGCTGCTGCAGGAGCAGGAGAGGTGGCCGATAGCAGGACCGTCGTGTGTACGTGGCAGGTGCTGGCTGCGGTGAGAGGTGAGACGCTGTTATAGTATGAAGCTGGCTAGGATTGTCTAGCGAGGAGAACCGCGCGACGTGGCAATACGCGCACGAGATAAGTGTTCGGTGTAGATAAAGTGCACGCGCACAAACATCTAAATCCACTCTATTCCCTATGGGCAGACCATCAGTCTTAAAGTAGATACCATATAAGTGGGTTACCAAACCTTACAAACAGAAACACACGCGTACAAACATGCGTGTACGGGCGATTATATCTATAGATGGCGTTGCACGCGTTATCTTTGTGTAATGGTTTGCTCACCAATGCTAAAACATGTTTCAATATTATTGCTTGTAGGAATGGAGCTTCCTTCACTAAATCAAAAATACAGCAAAAAGAACTACAGATATTTTTATGCGTCCGCTGGTCTTCACAATGAGGCTTACCCTAATTCGGTATCCACGATCATAAAGAACCTGCTATTATTATTATATTTATATTTTATTATATTTTTATTATATTTTTATTTTATATTTATATGTGTGTGCGTGTGTGTGTATTATTATCATCATTATCACTATTCATTTACCGTTTGTGGCCATCGCCTACGATGTGCACATTTTGTTGATTCTGCAGGTGTGAAGGTCCGATGTCAGTAGCGAAAAGTTGTTAGCTGGCAAGGAAGCTGTAACCAGCATGCCAGCGAACCAGTGTTTGTTCCGTCACCAGACAGCACCCAGGAGGACGGTGGTATGTGCGAATTTAGTATTATTCTTATGCATTATATATATATATATATCAGGAGTAGATAATAGGGAATTCCCCTATATATATATATGTGTGTGTGTGTGGTTTGTTTGTTGTGTGGGTGTGTGTGTGTGTGTGTGTGTGTGGTGTGTGTGTGTGTGTGTGCGCGCGCGTGTGTGTGTATGTGTTGTGTGTATGGGGGGGGGGGGGTCGTGCGTGCGCGCGTGTGTGTGTATAATAATAATAATAATAATAATAATAATAATAATAGTATTACATACATACACATATGTATTTTCTTATCATAATCCAAAGCCACTTCTAACATTTTCGATCGCTAAATAATCATTTCTGTTTTTCGCAGTTTCTTACGATGTTTGTAGTTACTGTACGTGAGTAACGTAAAACACCACAGTGACTCCAGTTTGTATATACATATATTTTACGAGACATGTAAAGACATGTAACCAATAATTGTAAAGCTATTATATTATATATATTATATAATTGTATAATATATACATATTGTATATTGTACTATATAATACTATATTATTATATTATTGATATGAAACTGAGATAAACGTGCTAATTTATACCTCTCTATAATATCAAACTCTGCTCTCACATAAGGTATCTTACTCGTGGGTGTCATCGACACCTGCTGCACACGACCAGACTTTCTTCTCCTTTTGGATCCGAAAACCATGACAGAAGTTGCTCGGGCTGAAGTTGGCTTCATCAAGGCTTATGGGATTCATTCCATATTTTCCGCCGATAGTCTAGGCATTCGGCGAAAGTCATCGTTTGTGCCTACAAGTGCGAATTTCTTTACAGATTGAAGGTCTAAGATAAACCTTGTTATGTATTTAATATTATCACTTCGGTATTTTGCATCGCGTATTTAAATAAAGCCCAAATATGCCCTTATTCAGAGGATTTTTCAGCATGTTCAGTTGCAGTGCGTGTTTGGACGTAATACGTCAGAGTTTAACGTATACTCTACGTCATCGGTTGAGTATAATAAATGTAATGGCCACACCTGCATGCGTGCTTTGCACGGGAAATGCTTCACGCTCTCGGTGGAAGTGATGCCCCGGACGTTCGCACAAGGATGTTAGCTCTACATTTCGGTCGACCATGCTACAACCAGCAACGTAGGTGTTCGCTACGCCTGTATACTTACTTCCACGGTGCAACGAAGTCGATGGGTTTTTCGCGATAGCGTCGCACGAATGCATAGAACATCATATATGTGAAAGAGAGATCGGTGTGATATCATCGAGAGCTCCTTCGTGTGCACTTCCGTGCGGTGATCAGTGCAAGATGTGATCATATCCTTCAGGGCGGAGGTGATACAACTAGTACGACCGGGCAATAATGGTTCGTACCAGAGAGTGCATCATCACGCGGAAAGGCGTACACGCATCTGCGTACATATATTATGTGAGAATGAAGGCGAGAGAAGCTGTGATTCGCCGCTGGGAGGTAGAGGAGTAGTGCACAACCAGTGTATGTCCACGAAACCGCATCGAATTCTCACCGTGTTACGAATGGCATAGCGCACCGCTAATGCATCGCTGCCTTCCACGGATATCTCATCGCGACGATCAGTGTGGTCTACCGTAACAAAACAAGATGGCGGCGACCGCTTCTCATGACAACACAACAACGCTGATGCAACGTGACACTCTAGACGGACTCGGCGGAGAGCTCTTCAACTCGGTTCTCTACCGGCAGTTCGTCGCACAGACGGATGTCACCTCAGCGGCTAGCGTCTCCGCTGCCACGCTGGTGCCGCTTGCCGTCGATGACGTCACGCTGGTTGATAAATACTTCGAGGCGGGCGTGCTCGTTATACTGCTCGTCACGGCCAGCCTGGGCAACACGCTGCTGTGGGCATCCGTGCTCGGCACGCGGAGGCTGCGCAAGCCGGCTAACTACCTCGTGCTGTGCCTTAGCCTCGCCGACCTGCTCGTCTCCGTCATCAACATGCCGTTCACCGTATCGGCGATCGTCGACGGCCGCTGGACGCACGGCGACGGCTTCTGCGTCGTGCAGGGCTTCACGAACATGGTGACGTTCGTGGCGAGCGTCATGTCGCTGGCGGCGATCACCATCAATCGATACGTGGCGGTCTGCTACTGTGGCGACTACCGGGCGGTCTACACCCCGAGAAATACGATATTTGTGTGCATTGGTACGTGAACGTAAAAGAGAAAATGAGTGTTGTGAGAGAGGAGAGGGGAAGTAGTGAGAGAGAAATAGATAAAGGGGAGAGAGGGGGAAAGAGAGAATAGGAGAGAGGGAGAGAGAGAGTATGTGAGAGAGAGAGAGAGAGAGAGAGAGAGAGAGAGAGAAAGAGAGAGCGTGAGAGAGAGAAAGAAAGAGCGCGAATGAAAAAGATAAGTCCGATTTAATAAACAGATTTTATAACACATACAACATTTGAACATTAAAAAATAATAACAATTTATTATCTCTGATGATTGACCTTTTTTCGCAGGTGTCTGGTTGGTCTCAGCGGCGCTCGCAGCGCCACCGCTATTAGGATGGGCCAGTTATGGATTCCTACCGGGACAATCCTTTTGCTTTTGCCTCTGGGCGACGAGCAAGTCCTACACATTTTTCATGGTCTTCGTCTGCTTCGGTGGACCACTTGGCGTCATGGCCTACTGCTACGCGAAAATCATCATCGAGTGTAAGCGTAGCCGAGAGAGAATGAACCCGGTAGCAAAACGCAAGAAAGAAGTGAATCCGACAGCGGAGATGACTACGTACGGACCGGGGGCTACCGTCGCCGGACAGCCGGACATGACCGTATCCGGTCAGTATACCGTCAAACAGATCGAGAGCATTGAGATGACCGTGCGGCCGGATTCCGGAGTCGGCGACCCACCGGATGTTGCTGCTGCCGGCGACGACGACCCCCCGTCGGCCCACAGTCCGGTATACTTCCTTCCGGCGATGCAGCCGCTAGACGTAGCTGCTTACAGTCCACGCCGCTTCGCACCGCTGTTTGCCGTGGAAGAGGAGAATGAGGCGGACGACTCCATGTTGGATGGAGAGAGCTGCTACAGCGAGAGCTCGGCCAGTCGCTCCGCCTCGCACACTACCGGCGCATTTACTTCCAGCACAGTCTCCATCGTCTCCGACTTGTTTAATTTCCGACTGAGCAGCGGAGAGTATGCTGCACCGAGTAGACGGGGGACGGGTATGCGGCTGGCGCCACCTACGCAGCGTCTGAGCAGCGTCAGCTTCCAGAGAGGGCGGGAGAAGCTGCGTCAGCTCGGTCAGACGCTGCACACGCCGTCGTCGGTCATCATGAAGCGACTGCGACGCAAGAAGCGACGCGAGAAGAAGAAGCTGCGCGAAATACATCTCGCGAAACTCTTCCTGGTCGTCATCTGTGCGTTCGTTGTCTCCTGGTTTCCGTTCTGCGTCACGATGTTCTGGAGCGTCTTTGGCGCCTCTCCCGTGCCACGCACCGTCGACATGATCTCACTGTTGCTAGGTTACGCAAACTCCTGCTACAATCCCATTATCTACGGCGCGCTGAACCGGAACTTCCGGGAGGGATACAAGAACGTCTTCGGCTGCCGCAGACGTGGTCGCCGACAGACGTCGACACGGCAAATGCAGAAAAAAATGTCGCGAAAATGGCGAAAGGTGGAGACGGTGACACCGAAGACAGCGCTGCCTGTTACGTGTCCCCGAATAACGGTCACGTCAGAGAGGGCGCTGTCCGTGTCTGTGACGTCCGAGGATGGCTTGTCCGCCTCGTTCACATCTGACGGACTAAGCGATGACGGTCCCTACTGCTCAGTTGACGAGAGTGCTGATGGAGAACTCACAGATGACTGAAGAAATATGTGGGTGTTTGTTCGGGCCACGTTAGTTAGTGTGCATGTAGGCTAGGTGTGCGCACCATAAGCGTGTGTGTGCGTGTGTGCGCGCGTGGTACACGCCGCATTGTTAATTTGTGTTTTAACATTTCGTAGGAAATAATAATAAACAAATATTACCGGCTTTAACAAATGTCAATTGATTTTCTTATTTCGTCAATTGGATTAATAAACGAATAAACCGCTCTATATAGTAATGTAATGTAATAGTAAATGAAGTTTAAATAACCATATATAAAGGTATAGTATAACTAACTAGAGCACTCGAAGAGTGCAGACCTCAGCCAAGGCAGCTGAATTCTCTCACTGTGAAAAATTGTATTAATTAATTAATTAAATAATTAATTGGATCCGGATCACCACCAAAATGTAATCAATTTTAAGTTACCCCATTTCTGACCTATCTTGAAAATTTTATTAATTGATTAATTAATTAATTTGATCAGGATCACCACCAAAATGTAATCAATTATAAGTTACCTCATTTCTGACCTATCCTGAAAATTTATTTATTTAATTAATTAATTAATTGGATCCGGATTACCACCAAAATCTCATCAATTCTAAGTTAGCCCATTTCTGACCTATCCTAAAAATTGACAATCCGTCCATAACTTTTTTAGTTAGGCGGTACACAAAGAACGGTGTTACAAACCCACAAACGAACAAACACACGCCGCGAACAAACACACGCCGGTGAAAACATAACGTCCTGCCAACCCCTTGGCGAAGGTAATTATAGCTATAAGCAAAGCTATAAGTAAGCAACAAAAGTAACGCAATTGCATAATCGAATAAAATATTATGCATTCGTACAATCATACAGATCACGCGCAATCAGAACACATCCGTCTCTCTCTTTCTCTCTCTCTCTCTCTCTCTCTCATAATTGCACACGCGCACTGACGCGACAGGACATAACGGACGCGAAAAAGTTTTGGCATAAAAACGAGCTGCCATCTGGTGGTAATCGTCCGTACTAATATATACGATACATTTACACATCGTGTGTGCGTGCGCGCGCGTGTGTGTATGTGTGTGAGCCTGCGTGTATGTGTGTGTGTGTGTGTGTGTGTGTGTGTGTGTGTGTGTGTGTGTGTGTGTGTGTGTGTGTGTGTATGTGTGGGTGTTTCATGTTTCCTGTACTAACAATAATAAATATTCGTCTATATATGCAGCATATCATTCATAGGACTAGCAAACGTAAAGATCATTTCTGGGAAGAAATGGTGGCCCTGATAAGAGCCAGTTGTTTTAGGTGACGAAGGTCACTGCGTGGTGGCTTGTGCAGGTCAAGGTCACATCTACACCAGCGCCACCTACAGAGAGAAATAACCGCATCGTCCGTAGCTCCTTACTTCTGGTGCCTCATGGCAGAGCGTCCCGTTTCGTAGTCCATATCGTCATCGTCATCGTCCTCCTCGCTCACGTGCCATTCGCTGTCGCTGGAATCGTCGGAGTAGTCCGATGTGTGTTCGATATCCCGTGGTTCGAGTAGACCTAGTCTGTACCGCATCTCTGCCACCAGCTGTGCCTTCTCGCACCGTAGTCGTGCATGTAACACTTGATACCCATCAGGACGGAGCTTGATCTTGTACTTGTACTGCGCCATCTTGTTTCCGGATGCCATGTACCGGCCATACAATACCATCATGTCGTTGACTTGAGCCTGCATGTAGCGTACATCCGCGCACACGCGCTTCGAAGATTCGGCTGTCTAGCTCCAGACGGTTCTCTCTAGTGCTGGGTCTTGCTAAGCGGTCGCATCGAGCCGCATCCCCATGATGTCCTCTGATGTCATTTCCATAGCAAGATGATAGTGAAACAACGGAGAACTTGCGTGTATGTTTATATATATATTATATCGATCGAGCGCGAGAGAATATCATTCGCGAACTATCTGGAGTGATGGAACGTCCATGCTGCTAGCAGTTTTATATATGCAGAGTTCGTTCCAATTCAGCATTACGAGATGCGCAAGATCTAGTAATAAGCTCCAAAGCAACACGCATCTTCAGGATTTCGATTACCGAGTCAGGTCGAGAAGCGCATAGATCGATGAGTCTCGAAGCGTGTGCGTGAAATCTCATACTAGTTACAACAAACACAGCAAGGTCAACAACAGCGGGGGTATCGATTCCAAGAGATCTGCTATAACAATACAGGTGCCTGCGCAGCGTGCTAGCGTGGAGTCTACGCATTAAGGCAAACAAAAGGAGATGATATGCTGCTGATAGTTTATCAATATCGACAGATTACTTATGCCAACACGGGTTTCTGAGGCTAGATACCTGGACGTGTCTCGCAATTAGGAGTCAGGTATACCTAAGACCTGATCATTGGGGAAGCGATTTTGGCAACGATGAGCAAATATGAGTCATGAGAACACGGTTCGCGGTGCTAAAAATTGAATCTACGTCTCACGTTCAAGCTAACAAGATAGGGGGAAGGAGTTCAGGACTCACATGCTTGTGCTAAAGAGTTTGGTTCCTCCATGGGTCGACATACACGCTGCTCGATCTCCTTGGATTTATTGATATCAAAGACATTTATTGACTAGTAAAAAAAACACATTGTGAGTGGGAATGTTCAGGAAACTTGTGAGATTGTTTCTTGCGCGTGTTCGTGAGTTGCGTAGTATAGTGCAGACTATCACTATTTGCCCCGGCCGCATGAGATTAGCGCTGCGTTACGCCGGTCTTAGGTCGTGGTTTACAGGCACTTGGCGCGTTTCAATAAAATATAATGCTAAATAAATACGAAATCTATTTACTACAAAAGTCTTAATGTTTCATTTATTGAAACGCTCCGAGTGCCTGTGGTCGGTTTTGCATGAATGCGACGCGACGCGACGATTGTAACTTACTGCATGCGACTGAGTGCTTACTTCGACAGCGACGCGACTGACAGTGACGAGCAGCGACTGACATTGGCAGTCACAGAAAGCGCTTCACACTTATACATGCTAATTGGCTCGTCTGTTTGCAAAGACTATATATACCGAGAGATATCCTACCCCCCCCCCCCCACACACACACAATATCTATCTTCTCCAGGGCCTCCCTCTCCTTTCTCATCACCTTTTCATCCCACCTTCGCCTTCTCTCTATCTTATTATAATTCTTCCTGGTCTTCCTTTTATTCTCCCCCACCTTCCCCATGTGTATGCATATCACCCTGCTCCTCGTGGAAGACGCTCGTGAATCTATATATATATACAAGGCAAGGCAAGTATGTGAAATTGTGCACAATGTTATCGATTTTATTTCATTCAATTCTCGATTCACTAAACAACCTTGTGAACTCTGCTACGAACAAAGAGCATTATTTAGCCAAAAAATACATGGTTCCCCGTGTTTCACATTTCGTAGGTCGTCGTAACTATCGCAATAAGTCTTGTATTACTGTATACTAAGGTCATGTACGGGACTTGAATATATCCCATCAGTAACCAAGACGTGACTATATGTGTTGTACAATCAGTAGACGGGTCCATAGGCAGCCAGTCTGAATAAGCATCGAACAGAATTAATTAAAAATTCTTGTCGCACACACAACAACACTTTATTCATGTTAATAACCACAGATTTAAGTTTAAATTCGCTCGAAACGATGCCAGGCTAAATGATGCGCATTTCTTCAAAGTAGTCTGATCCGTTCAACTATAAAAATGGCCGACCGGTCACCATGGCTACGTCACTTGCGAATGGCACACGATAAGGCCAATCTACTTCTAATGCCTTGCCTGAATAATGCAAATTAGTGCACTCTAGCTCGAAAGTTTACTGCAAAAACGAAATAGTACAACATTGGTGAACAATTTACGGAGGATTACTGTTTGTGTGCAATCTATATATAAGGTGCTCGATCACCGGACATCCCCGAGGATGTAGTGCTACGAGCAACGACAGACGTAAACACGACAGAAATACACACGAGAGAACACACACACGTCAGAATTATGTGCATTTTGGATTCGCTTACAATTGTCGTAACGTAAACGGATTGTCGCAATTGTGATGTTCTTACAATTATCAGAATGTATAACTATTTAATGGCGATTGCAGCAAAATCTTTATCGCGATCAACATCACGCCGTATCACTAACCTTATGAACTATAGAAAATCGTTATTTTATGATTAAGTTTCCCTGAATGATTTTAACGTGTACAAGTACATATAACAAATACACTAGTAATCTTAAAAGGCTATATTTCAACTTGTAAAAACTATGAAACTATACAGCCAATTTTTAACTATGGCTTTTCACTATATAAACTAATGTATTAACACGGTATTGGTGTATCATGACATATAGCTACGCACACGTCAAGAAAATTTACAAAAATCAGTA